GACTAACCAAACTCATGTTTACTGTATTCACTGATACACAAAAATTTATTTCTTCATCTTACTTTTGTTCATTCTTTTCATTGTTTTTATTGGTGGTAATTTGTTCCTGTGTTAACCTGGTATACTTTTTAACACTCTAATCCACTGTTGATGAGACATGAGCAGAGGAGGTACAGAATGGGCTGTGTAAACAAACGGATGCTGAGTAAGAAACACTGCAATGTCTCGGCCACGTGGCCGAACGCGCCGGGTCTGTCTGATCTCCGAAAACACTGCAAGATTAGGGTAGCCATAAGTGTCACAGAATGTTAGCATAAGAAAGTGAGAGAATAGAGCAGAGAAAAGAATAAAGCAGAAGCAATACAGTAAACAAATTGATGCTGAGTAAGAGAACATACTGTAACAGTAACAAGATAAGAGTAACCACAACTATCACAAGAAACAACAGAAACAATACAGGCACATTATACATTACAGTCCTCCCACCCCTTGCCAGTGGGCTTTGGCACAAACAACACATCTGAGTCTAACCACAGTAAGGTGAAAAACTCCCCCCCTCAAGAAGACACATCCTGATTGGTCAAGAAAAAAAGAGAGTCACAAAGAAGAGAGGCGCAGACAAGAGAAAAAGGGATGACAAAGAGACCCAGTGCCACTGTCAGCTGGGACGGCTGTCCACACCTACCCCTTTGGGAGTGTACTATTGCTTGCTGATAGAGACCCAAAGAAACCCCAGGCCACAGTCCGCTGGACGTGTGCTCTCTTAACCCCTAGAATGAACTATCACTTTAATAAACTTGCTGTTTGCTGCTTCAAAACTGTCGTTTTCATTCTTAGATCAGGAGAAGACAAGAACCGAGGAGTTTAACAGCCAGTAACACCACCTCTATCCCCCAGTCCCTAAATACATCTTAGAACAGAATTCCTAACTTCCTCTCCTTACAGAGAAAGACTTTGGAACACATTTACATTCCAATTCTTTTAGTTTTGCTGAGTTAGTTTAGCACTCATTATTATAATTAGGTCTGTTCTAATTTATGTGCTGCTTATAGTATTTCTCTAATTTTTTGTCACATGGGGCATATGAATGATATCCTCCTGAATTTGCTTATAACAGATTTCTAGAAGGTAAATGGTATCTTGGGTTATAGTCCTTTTCCCTGTAGCTATTCTATAGTCCCATCCATTTTTGTAGCCTGATACAAGCTTGATTTTTTAATCCTATAAAGAATTTTCTTGAAAGGGGATGTAGTTTTAGCATTGCTTCTATGACTTAGGTGTTTAGGAACTATGCCAAGATTCAATTGTGGGCCTTTTCTCACCAAATTTTTATAGAACTATGTGTGTCCTTTCAATTGGTAAACCAAGGTTGATCCTTAGAAATTTTCTTCTTTTTTATTTGATTTTCTCCACTTTTGTGTCTTCTCCTCCTTCCAAGAATGTATTATTCTCTCATGAAGCCCCTGAGTCTATCTGCTAAGTCTCTATTTCCTCATGATTATTCTTTGTAATTTAGTTTTTCTCATTGAGATACTTTTCTTTTCTTTTTTTGAGTCAGAGTCTTACTCCTTTGCCCGGCTAGAGTGCCGTAGAGTCAGCCTAGCTCACAGCAACCTCAAACTCCTTGGGCTCAAGCGATCCTACTGCCTCAGCCTCCAAGTAGCTGGACTACAGGATGCGCCACTATGCTCGCTAATTTTTCTATATATTTTAGTAGAGATGGAGTCTCATTCTTGCTCAGGCTGGTCTTAAACTCCTGAGCTCAAGCAATTCGCCCGCCTCGCCTCCCAGAGTGCTAGGGTTACAGGCTTGAGCCACCGTGCCTGGCCGAGATGCTTTTTCTACTTTGTCTGCAGGTTACTAATTTGGTTCTTGAAAATGGCCTCCTTCAATTCATCTACTGAATTTATAGTTAAGAAACGTATTTTTTAGTTCCAAAAAAGCCTTATTAAATTTTTGTGTGTGAGAGTGGCAGGAGGAGGTTGACACTATATGGAATCTCCTTAATGCTCCTTTACCTTTTTTGCTCAAGTTGTTGACTGGTTCTGGAATACCTCAGATACATTTATGCATTTCTTTGCCCACTGAGGATCAGGTCTGGGAATTAATGTACCCTAAATAGCAGCAGCCCCACAAGCATTCTCTATACCTTAGGGCCAGAATTACAACAGAAGACTGTCAGTACCCCTGACATGGAGGACAAGATGTCTCTCTGTTCCCTGAACTCTCAAACTCAGGAATAAGGAGGCTATATCTACCAATTCAGCTAATATTTAGCTTTATGGGGTTCAAGAAGACCAGGCTTACTCACATGGACAAATGTTTAACTTACCCTAGGATTCCCTATGTCCTGATTCTTCTCCAAGTGCTTTCACAAATCAAAAGTGAGAAAGCCCTGTATTAGTTTTTCCCACTAGCCTCCCTCAGAACCCAAGACATCATCCCACCTAGCTGTCACTGGTTCAGGTGAGACATACAGATGGGATCTTACTATGGACATGGATAGGAAGCAAGATTGATTTCAAGTTGCCATCTTCCCAGAACTTTCTCCGTGCCTAGGCCTAAATTTATAAAATGTTTAAAAGTTGAATATTGGTTGGGCGCGGTGGCTCCTGCCTGTAATCCTAGCACTCTGGGAGGCCGAGGCAGGCAGATTGCTTAAGGTCAGGAGTTCGAAACCAGCCTGAGCAAGAGAGAGACCCCGTCTCTACTATAAATAGAAAGAAATTAATTGGCCAACTAAACATATAGAAAAAATTAGCGGCATGGTGCGCATGCCTGTAGTCCCAGCTACTTGGGAGGCTGAGGCAGCAGGATTGCTTGAGCCCAGAAGTTTGAGGTTGCTGTGAGCTAGGCTGATGCCATGGCACTCACTCTAGCCTGGGCAACAAAGCAAGACTCTGTCAAAAAAAAAAAAAAAAGTAAATGTTAAATACATGAAAGTACTAGAAGGAAGCATTATTGAATTTATTTTGTGATCTTCAGAACCTGATCTTCAGTCTAAGTATGATACATTCTAAAATCCAGAAGTTACAAAATATTAATAAATTTGGCTACATAAAGATTAAAAAACATTTATGACAAAAAGAACAATATCATTGTCAAACAGCTACTTGGCAATAAAAAGAAATAAACTTTTGATGAATGAATCTCAAAACATTAGGCTAAGTGAAGAAAGCATAACACAAAAGACTACTTACTGTGTGATTCCATTTATATAAAAGTCTAGAAGAGTAAAAACTGTAACAGAAAGCAGATTGGGTTGCTAGGGCCCCAAGGAGGCCAGAAGAAGGACTGTCTGAAAAGGAGTCCAAAGGAATTTTGAGGGGTGATGGAAATGTTCTATATCATGATTGCAGTGGTGGTTATATGACCACATATATTTGTCAAAACTTATTAAATTAGGCCTGGCACGGTGGCTCACGCCTATAATCCTAGCACTCTGGGAGGCCCAGGCGGGTGGATCACTCAAGGTCAGGAGTTCGAAACCAGCCTGAGCAAGAGCGAGACCCAGTCTCTACTAAAAGTATAAGGAAATTAATTGGCCAACTAAAAATATATATACAAAAAAAAATTAGCTGGGCATGGTGGCTCATGCCTGTAGTCCCAGCTACTTGGGAGGCTGAGGCAGGAGGATCACCTGAACCCAGGAGTTAGGCTGACACCACCGCACTCACTCTAGCATGGGCAACGAAGTGAGACTCTGTCTCAAAAAAAAAAACCCACAAAACTTATTAAATTATACTTAAAATTGGTATATAAATTTATACCAATTTATATACCAATAAAATTATATAAAATTGGTACCCCAATTAAAGCCAACTAAAAAGTCAAATAAAATATTTATAACATATATGACTAAGGAATAATTTACTTATATAAATAACTCTCAAAATAGGTAATAAAATAATAATTTACTAGAAAAATGTGTGTAGAAAATAAGTAGTTCACAGAAGAAAAAATTTCAAAGAACCAATAAATAAATATATGAGGAAATGCTCAACCTTAGTTATAATTTAAGAAATGCATATCAAACAATTGGGTTATACTTTTTTACCAATGAGACTGGCAAAAGTTAATATATTTGCTAATATCCAGTGTTGCAATCTAGGGACATGTACACTCTACTACAGGTTTCCTTTTGATGAGAATTTAGCAATATCTATCAACATTTTAAATACATATACTATTAGACCCAGAAATTCCACTTTAAGTAAATTCATCTTGGAGGTATATTTATAACGAACAAATGTGTAATAATACAAATGTGTAATAATAATACAACAAACATTTATATATTTCTTCATATGCCAGGAATTGCTGTAAATATTTTATCTGTATTATTTGATTTAATCCTTACAACCGTAAAAGGAAGGTGTCTTTATTAATCTCCATTTTACAGATGGCAAAACTAAGCTATAAAGGGGATAAGGTAATTTGTCCAAGGTCATACTACCAGTAACTGGCAGAGGAAGGATTCAAACCCAGGCAGCTTGGCAACAGAATTTATACTCATAGGCAGTATGTTATTCTCTCTCTCTAAAGAATATTTAATACTGCACCATTTGTAACAGCAGAAAACAAATGTCCTTCAATAGGAGACTAGTTAAATAAATAAATTCTACTACCAGGCAAGCAGGATTCATTAAAAATAACTTTTTATATGCTAAAATCAAAACAGGTCATGTTATGATAGTAAATGAAAAAGCTTGTTGCAAATACTTGTTGCAATAGCCAAAGTCTATTATAAAACAAAGGATATAGGAAAAATAATACATATACTTGCTTATACAAAGAAAATTTCTAGAGGCCGTGTATCAAACTGTTCAGTAAATACCACTGAGATGTTAGGAAGGGGAAGAAAAGGCTTTTTATTTTTTAACTTTATTCCATTCTGCTTTATTTGAAATTTTTTAACTATAGGCATGATTTTTTTATTACCAAAAATTCCACACAATTATTCTACTTAGTATTTTATAACTTCTATGTCATAGATTTACCTTTAGCTCTTGGATTAACTGGCTTCTTCTATCTCTTAGATTCTTTAACTCTTTCTCATCCCAGCATCTAGCCTTGTATTTTAAGTCACTTGACCCTCCAGAGATCACCCCAGATTTTAAAAATAATGTTCCATCAAGAGCTACTGTCTGTAAAATTAAAAATATATTACCTTAGAGAAATATACATAAAGATATAAAATCAAAACATAATGTGGCAATTTTTACAGCTGAGAATTTGTAGATGAAAAAACCACTTACTGAACTTTACTAATAAAATACCTAGTTTATGAAGGGACATCAACCAATAAATAAACCACAAATATAAAACCCACTTTACTAAGGCCCAAAGCACTTCTAGGCAACAAATTAGCAGCAATCACAAAGGTTCAAAGTAAGCTGTATAGTAGTCCCAAACATACATAATAATTGAGAACCAAAAACTAAGAATAGAAATATTAAATATCAAACAGTTTGCATTACATAATCCTATATTTCAAAGAATCTAACTTACATATTAATGGCGTATCATGAAGTGGCCTTATAACTTTACGTTACCAAAAATATCACATTCTCCAGAACAGACATAAAAAAGGGACCAAGAAAAAAATTTAAATGGAGTCGAGGTATAAAACAGCCTGAAGTTTATAGTCCTGTTAGCATATGCTTTAGGGAATAAATGAATTGCTTCTCCGCCTTTTGGCTAAGATCAAGTGTAGGGAATAAATGAAATCAATTCTCAATGTAGGCCAGGCGCGGTGGCTCACACCTTTAATCCTAGCACTCTGGGAAACCGAGGCGGGCGGATTGCTCAAGGTCAGGAGTTCAAAACCAGCCTGAGCAAGAGCGAGACCCTGTCTCTACTATAAGTAGAAAGAAATTAATTGGCCAACTAATATATATAGAAAAAATTAGCCAGGCATGGTGGAGCATGCCTGTAATCCCTGCAACTCGGGAGGCTGAGGCAGGAGGATCGCTTGAGCCCAGGAGTTTGAGGTTGCTGTGAGCTAGGCTGATGCCATGGCACTCACTTCTAGCCTGGGCAACAAAGCGAGACTTTGTCTCAAAAAAAAAAAAAAAAAAAATCTCAATGTTTTGCAAATGTTTGTAATTAATTAGTCAAACTAGGAGGCCACCTGTGAAGGACTAAAACCATGTAATGTGAGCTGACACATTTAAAAAGCCAACAAATAGAGGAGTTTTTTTTTTGAGAGAATTTCACTTTGTTGCCCAGGCTAGAGTGAGTGCCATGGTATCCTAGCTCACAGCAACCTCAATCTCCTGGGCTCAAGCGATCCTACTGCTTCAGCCTCCCAAGTAGCTGGGACTACAGGCATGCGCCACCATGCCCGACTAATTTTTTGTATATATATTTTTAGTTGGTCAATTAATTTCTTTCTATTTTTATAGTAGAGACAGGGTCTGGCTCAGGCTGGTTTTGAACTCATGCCCTTGAGCGATCCGCCCATCTCGGCCTCCCAGAGTGCTAGGATTACAGGCATGAGCCACCATGCCTGGCCAACAAATAGGAGTTTTATTCATTCCTTCATTCAAGACTGTGTGACTGCTGTGTTTGAGACACTCTACACTAGACTAGGGACTAGAAAGGGACTAGAATGAATGAAATATGATGCTGACCCTCAGGGAATCATGCTAGTAGGGAAAAATATATAAACATATCATTACAAAATGAAGTGATGAAAAGATAGTAGAAACATAATCAGAGTAACCTGGAAGCATTAAACTCGGGGAGGGGGGGGTGTTCCAACCCTGCCTGTTAGTCCATGGAAGGCTTCCTGAGAAGGTAAATGCTTTTATCCTATCTTCTCTGAGGTACTAGTTAAAATAAATTAGTTCATTTAACAGAAAACTAAGTTTATTTCTCTTTCACAAAATGAAATTCCAGGGTAGGCACTCCAGAGTCTGTATGGTGGCTCTACCATCATTATAACAAGAACCTAGACTTCTATAATATTGAGCTACCATCCTTAGCACCTGACACAAACAAGCTCATTATTTTTTGGAAAGCCCTGAAGGGGTCTCTTTCCTCCTAGCTATTAGTGTGGCAATGAGTTTGCTCAGTAGGTCTGGACTGGCTCTTTGGAAGAACACCAGATCCAGCAGCAATGGCAAGGAAAATGAATTCCTGTTCTGTGAAAATGTGACATCCATCCAGTTGTTTTACCCAATTTAAACACAGTAGAAATCTTTCTCTTCTCTTCTTTCTTTCTTTGTTTCTTTTTTCTTCGTTTCTTCTTCTTCTTTCTTTTTTCCTTCGCTTCCCTTTCTCTTCTTCTTCTTCTCTCTCTCTCTCTTCTCTTCTCTCTCTCCGTCTCCCTCCCCTGCTCTTCTCTCTTCGTGTGTGTGTAGCGTGACTGTGTTTTATATCTGCTCCCTCTTCCCTTTCCTTCTGTCCTCCTCCTTCCGTTCCTTCCTTCCTTCCCTTCTTTCTTTTTCTATTCTGTGCGCGCATTCCCTCCTCCTTCCTTCCCCTCCCTCCCTCCGCCTCTTCCCTTTTCTTTTTTTTTGAAGAAACATTTTTGCTCCTATTTGGCCTATGGCCTAGAGTGCCATGGGGGCAGCCTAGCTCACAGCAACCTCAAACTCCTGGGTTCAAGCAATCCTCCTGCTTCAGCCTCCCGAGTAGCTGGGACTACAGGCATGCGCCACAAATATTTTCTATTTTTACCAGAGATGGGGTCTTGTTTTTTTTCAGGCTGGTCTTGAACTCCTGACCTCAAGTGATTCTCCCGCCTCAGCCTCCCAGAGTGCTACAATTACAGGGTTGAGCCAACACACCCACCCAGATAGAGAAAAGAGAGAAAATTCTTTAAAAGTCCCTGACATATAGTCAAGATACAGATAAGACAATGCTGATGGAAATTTTGAAATACAGTTAAGAATATACAACCTAAAGAGGTAAAGTATGTTACTGTGAACAAGATAGAAACCATAAACAGAATTAAGTTTTATCTTCATGTGACTTCTTTAAAGTGACTATACAAATGTTAAATCAATTTTACAATTATACAAAAGTCAATTTCAGGCCAGGTACAGTGGCTCACACCTAAAATTCCTGCACTGTGGGAGGTTGAAGCGGTATGATCACTTGAGGCTAGGAGTTTGAGACCAGCCTAAGTAACCAAGCAAGAAACCATTTCTACCAAAAATTTTTAAAAAGTAAATAAAAAGTCACTTTCAGATAGTTAATTAGGAAGGAAAATAAGAATGGTACCTTAATAGGTCACTTACTACATCTGCCTAAATTCAGTATGTTGAAATCAATTATAGTGATCATAGTAAGATTATTACTGACAGAAACACCAAAATGTATAAAGTTAATCATGTTTGATAAGTCAATAAATTTAACTCTGGAAATCCTTATGTCTCATAAGAATAGCTTGCTCTGTGATAATTTGCAATTCTGGACATTCCAGACTAAATGTGTTTGTTGACTGGTAAATAATAAAATGATAACCACTTTTTGAGAGCTATTTGATAGGCATTCTGTGTAGGAGCAGGAAGTATGATCTGGCTGCTTCCTTGATGCTGAACGGGTGTGGATGAAGGAAAGCCCTCTGGTCAGCAGCCCCAGAAATTGAAGTAAACAGCCACGTCTCCAGGGACTGCAGTCATGTAGGAGGTCTGGGAATGTTCTTTGAACAGAGCATTCTCAAAATACAGACATTGGGGAGTAAATGGTCATCTGTTTCCTGCCCTTGAGTTCCCTCTTGAGTTGTACCAATAAAAGCAATGTGTGCACCAAGGATGGGGCTCTTTGCTCTTAGAAGCATCGAGTCCCCCGCCCCCTCCCCCGCCCCCACTTGTCCTAATAATTGGCTACTTTGTCTTTATTTCTGCAGGAGCTGCTTGGTTTTGAGTTCCCTGTGCTGAGCTGGACTCAGCAGTTCTGCATGTTACTACTTAATTCAATCCTCATAACCCTATGAAACAGGGACTATTATTTCCTCAGTTTTAGATGAGAAAACTAAAATTAGAGGTTTAGAAATTTGCCTAAAGTCACATAATTACTAAAGCAACATCACTGGTTTTACTTCATAACTTATGCCCTTAAGTACTGTGTTATGGTTCATCACAAGTGTAGTTTTTAAAAAAATATGTCAGAATAATTTGAGCAGTTTAACATAGTTCAACTAAATATAAACTCTAGTCTACTTAAAGTAAAACTATTTTTGAAACCAAAATTTATTCCCCTGAGAGATTAATATTCAGTAATCTCATTTCAGTGGTGCTTTCTAAAAATTCAAATGTGTTAAACCTTGAATGTGTACAAGGACAGTTAGTATATCCATTCAGCTATGGAAGAATTAACCCAGGATATAAGCACCTAAAATTTTTCCCAGTGTTCAAAAACACATATATTATATCCAGGGTTCCATATAAAATAAAAAAATTAACTGCTTTAGGATATTATTACTATAAATCTAATTTCCCAAATATAATTTATGATATTAGAAAATGCTACAGAAATGTTCTTTTTTTTTTTTTTGAGAAAGAGTCTCATTCTATTGCTTGGGCTAGAGTGCTGTGGCATCAGCCTAGCTCACAGCAACCTCAAACTCCTAGGTTTAAACAATCCTCCTGCCTCAGCCTCCCCGGTAACTAGGACTACAGGCATGTGCCACTGTGCCCAGCTAATTTTTTCTATTTTTAGTTGTTTGGCTAATTTCTTTCTATTTTTAGTAGAGATGGGATTTGGTTTCACTCTTGCTCATGGCCTCCCAGAGTGCTAGGATTACAGGCATGAGCCGCCATGCCTGGCTAGAAGTTAATTTTTTAAAAACTCAACTGAATATTATATAAACTACTAGAGCCATAACCACCTTAGGTTCTACATTGGTTTTCCTTCTAAAAGAGGACATACAAAAAGCATATAAAAATTTGTGTGTGATTATGTATGTGTGATGTTAGTCTTATAAATACTGTTTCAATTTATTCAAAAGTACGATCCAAGCCTCTTTTCTTACTTTCCGTCTTTCAGGTCCACCGAATGCAATATGCCTTGCTTCTTCCACAGTCTCACAAACAAGGCCATTTCCACACACAAACTGAATCACTTTCTTCAGCTGAGGAAACTGAGTTTTTATGACATCAATCACCATTTTACAGCCTTTAATCTCCCTCAATCTTTCATTGATTGGCTTGATCTAAAAGGTTCGAAAAATACTTAATATATTAGATACACTAAAATAAAAACCAAGTGTTCACTACATTCTTTCTCACAAAACATATATAATCCTGGAAGCAGAAGATTAACAATATGTATGCATATACAATAAAAGTTTGACAAGAGCATGATGAACTCTACCTCACCATTGGATCATGTAATATTGTTTTAAAAACCCAAAAACTTCAAGTCAGAAGATATAATTTTCAGATTCAATTCTGTCACTAACTATTTGGGACAAATAGTGAGAAGTGCTCCATGTTTTCAAAATCATAAAATCTAGTGGAGAATATGTGTCAAAAGAGCAGCACAATACTATGGAACTAAAAAAAACCACTTTATGCTTAAATCATTGGGAAAGGTTTTAGACTTTCTTAGACATGACTTTTAGGTTGGGTCTATAAATAGATCAAAAAGTCTATTTGCAATGTATTGCTGAAAACCAGCAAATAAGATCTTCACTTTGTAAAACAAATCAAAGCAAAATCTTATATAGAACCAAAATATGTATATATATATACACTTGGGAATATAAATTTATATAAACTGAGTATATGGAAACAATCTAAAGTAGTTACTATTTAGGATTTAGGCATTGAGAAGGAATAATATTCCCTCTATATTTGATATACTTCTGCCTAAGATCTTTTAAAAAACAAATTTGCCTTGAAAAAAGTCTCAAGTAAGGAATGAGTAAAACAGGATTTTAATAGGTAGATGAATTAGGGTAAGAAGTTTTAGTGGACAGAAGCTATAAGAAAAAGTGTAGAAGTAAAAAAGGCAGGTTTGGACCATTAGTAACACCAGCTAGCGTTTGCTAAGCTCCTCCTTTTTGTAGGTACTATGTCAGGTACTTTACATGTAATGATTCCTTGCAATAAAATTCAATAAGGTAAGGACTAATTCCTCCACTTCATGGAGGAAGAAACTGAAGCTCAGAAAAATTAAGAACAGGCTGGGCATGATGGCTCATACCTGTAACCCTAGGCTCATGCCTAGGATGGCTCATGCCTGTAATGCCTTGGCCTCTGGGATGCTGAGGCGGGAGGATTGCTCAAGGTCAGGAGTTCAAGACCGGCCTGAACAAGAGTGAGACCCTGTCTCTACTAAAAATAGAAAGAAATTAGCTGGACAACTAAAAATATATAGAAAAAATTAGCCAGGCATGGTGGCACATAGCTGTAGTCCCAGCTACTCGGGAGGCTGAGGCAGAAAGACTGCTTGAGCCCAAGAGATTGAGGTTGCTGTGAGCTAGGCTGATGCCATGGCACTCTAGTCCAGGCAACAGAGCAAGACTCAAAAAAAAAAAAAGAAGAAGAAATGAAAATTAAGAACAAATTAGTGAAAGCTAATTAGAAGTAGGACTGAGATTCAAACTCAGGGCTGTCAACTCTAAACCATGCACTCTTAACCACTACGCATAATGCCTACAATTCAGGGTCTTAACTGGACCAAAAAGAACATTTTCTTTAGTACTGTGGTCACCAACCCTGGGGCTGCGACCTGTACCAGTCCGTGGCCTGTTAGGAACTAGGCCACACAGCAGGAGGTGAGCGAGCAGCTGATGAGCAAGTAAAGCTTTATCTGCATATACTGCTGCTCCCCATCACTCACATCACCACTTGAGCTCTGTTTCCACCCATGGAAAAATTCTCTGGGACCACTGCTTTAGTAGGCAATTAAAAACCACTGAAGGATTTCAATCATGGTATTGACAGAGTTCCTGCTTCAGGAATTTAGACTTGAGATATTCTAGGATGTTTCAATATATACCTTAAAGCTCAAAATTTAGCCTCCTACACCAACAGCTAACACACTGGATCAAATATTTATAATCAAGACTGAGTTGACATTTTACCAACAGACCATACATCTTATTCATCTCCTATACTTTGCTATTGAACAAAATATATTGCTGGCTAGAAGGTAGAGTGGTTATACTGCTAGAACAATGGCATCAAAGTTACCAAGTTAGAATAATGGCCAAACTAGAAGAAATGATATCAAGAAAGATAGCAGTCACTTGATATTATTCTTTGCCTGTCAATACATTTAATACGAGCCATTTGAATGACTGGCTTACTGGCATCCAAGCTATGACTTTTTTCAATCATTGCCATAGTTTTAGGCAATAAAGACATATTTTAGCAGACAAGATTTTATCATTACTAAATAACAAACATTACAAATTTCTTACATCAAGGTAATCTAGAGCAAGGAATGTCTCAGGTTCAGCTCTTTCCTCCTTCAGAAATCGAATACAATCTTTTGCTACCTTTTCAGAGGCTACAACAATGGCAACCATGTACCGGCCAAAAAGCTTAGTAACAGCCAGCTGGTATTTCTTATGAATAGGATGACACAGGTCAAGTAGTCTTCCAAACTTAGCATGTTTCAAAAAATGAGAGAAAAACAAATACATTAGTGAGGAACATATAATTCATTGTTTTCTAATGTAACAAAGTAGAATAGATAAAAATGAATTTAATAAAATTATATACATCATAATTTAATAGAGTCTCATTCAAATAGACTGTTTCATTATGAAATGTCCATTTAGCAGTCACATTTTGTTTACGAAAAGATTAATGAGGCCGGCCGTGGTGGCTCACGCCCACTCGTAATCCTAGCACTCTGGGAGGCCAAGGTGGGTGGATCCTTTGAGCTCAGGAGTTTGAGACCAGCCTGAGCAAGAGTGAAGAACTAGCCTTACCAAAGTATTAAAATATTTTACAAAACTATAATAATTAAATAATATTCATCAATTCCCTTATGTTTTAAATAAGAATCTATAAGGCACCTACTGTGTGCAGGTAGCTACTATGTGCTAGACTCTTAGATAAACATTACTGAACAAAACAGGTACTCACTGACCTCACAGAATTTTCAGTCTACTAAGGAAGAAAAACATAAGCAATCAGTAATCTCATGTATGTACAAAATAGAGCTAGACACTGTGATAAAGAACAGAGTGCTCTCAGAATACATAACAGGGACCAGTCTGGCCTAAGAAAGGAAGTCAGGAAAGGCTTCTCATCAAATGTTACTTGAGCTGAGATCTGGAGAATGGTCCAGTAGACTGAAGTTAAAAAACTTTACTAGAAAATGTCTAAATGTCAACCATCCTGTATCAATGATTCCCTAGAATATCTGAAGATTTAATTTTATACCTTTGGACTCTTTTTTTTGTTAGGTTTTACTTCAGTAATATTTCCTTATTTGTCTTTCATATTTATCTTTGCTCTATTTAAATCTCTTTGTCTCTTCCTCCTTCATTCACTTGTGATTATCTCAAGCTTTCCTTCTGGGTCAATAATTTGATTTTCTGTTAGAAAACTCATTCCTTGGTATTTCTAATTTATTTATTAGTATTTCTTGCTACTTCTAATTCATTCAATGTATTAGTCTGTTATTTATTATATGCTAATTATTCAGTAATGTTTGTCCTTGATTTGTTTTCTTAGCTCTATATTTCCCTATTCATTTTATTGTTTTACCTAATATTTGAATGTTGTTTTATAAATTCAAGCTCTTATTCAATTGTCCATAGCACAAAACACTTACTAATGAGGGATTTTGTTCTTTAACCTAGATTAGATTCTTTGACTTCTATTTTTTTTTCTTTAGCATCAGCATGAGAAGTTAATCTTTGACTTCTAAATGTTTCTAAATACTTCCTCTTTATTATTATATGTACCTATAGCTGCCATAGTGATTCTTTTTACTTTGCTTATGTTTAAGGTGGATAGCTCTGTTTAAACTTTTTATTTGCTCTTATAGATAACTTTTTCTTGATTGTCTTGCCCATAGAACTGAGATGGTTATCTCCTCTGAGCAGCAATTGATGGAGTAAGTATTTTCTGTTCTATCCACTTTTCCATCACCTAAGGGCCTGGACAACAGGGACAAGTGAGAGCTTAGCTAAGACTTTTTGAGAATATACTTTGAGTATCTGGGTCCTTCCCTCTCTTCTGAGTTGTTTTTTTCTTTTTTTTGGAGACAGAGTCTCGCTTTGTTGCCCACACTAGAGTGAGTGCCATGGTGTCAGCCTCACTCACAGCAACCTCAAACTCCTGGGCTCAAGTGATCCTCCTGCCTCAGCCTCCCGAGTAGCTGGGACTACAGGCATGTGCCACCATGCCCGAACTAATTTTTTCTATATATATTAGTTGGCCAATTAATTTCTTTCTATTTATAGCAGAGATGGGGTCTCACTCTTGTTCAGGCTGGTTTCAAACTCCTGACCTCGAGCAATCTGCCCGCCTCAGCCTCCCAGAGTGCCAGGATTACAGGCATGAGCCACTGCGCCAGGCCTGTTTTTTTCTATTGTTTTTTTTGAGACAGAGTCTTACTTTGTTGCCCGGGCGAGTGCCGTGCTGTCATCATAGCTCACAGCAACCTCAAACTCCTGTGCTCAAGCAATCCTCCTACCTCAGCCTCCTAAGTAGCTGGGACTACAGGTGTGTACCACCATGACCGGCTAATTTTTTGTATTTTATGTGAGATGGGGGTCTCACTCTTGCTCAGGCTGGTCTTGAACTCCTAACCTCAAGGGATCCTCCCACCTTGCCCTCCCAGACTGCTAGGATTACAGGCTGAGCCACTGCACCGGGCCTTACTGCTATTTTTTAAAGATAAATTATAAACACAAAATTTTAAAATTTCTGAAATAATTTTGCTTTCTAATATTGGTAATATTTCTGATCCCAAAAAAGAAGATACTATTTTCACTAAACAGGAATGCTTTGCTTTTTTGTTTTAACTATTCAGTCTAATTACCACAGAATTTGGGTACAATCTTTTAAGGTGTTCCAGAATCTCTGCTCTCTTTTGCTGACGTTTTCCCTCATGGGTCTCAATTCCAGCATTCTGCAATTCACTTCCAATAAGATTCAATTCTTCATTAACGTCAGACATTCTTGATTTTGTTTTTTCAATTTCATCAACTAGGGTTTCTTCTTGCTGTTTTTTCTCTTTTAAGCAATCCCTACATAATAACAACAAATTATACAGCAAAAAAAACCACAAAAAAACAAAAAACACACGAAAATACAGGAATACCAGATATAACAAATCTTGATCTGTCACGGCAGAGGAATGGAGTAGTGCTTTCTAGATTTTTAAAGGATAAAAAATACAATACAATAAACCTAACACCAAACATGGGCAAAAGAGATTTTGATCATTCTTTGTTGATTCGAAACATATATGCTTCTAAATACTGAAAAAGGATACATCACTATAACCAGAGCAATCATCATGAGTTTAATTTAATAATAAGGAAATGCCAATTAAAAAGAAATCCTTAGTGGCAGAATACTTAAGTTTTATTAGTTTTCATGACATAACTCATTACTTTTACTATAAAATATCAATACCAAAAGGTAAGTTTCACCACTGTTACACATTAATATTTTCAAATTTTAAATATTTAATATGCAGTTAAGTATAATCTTTAGCAATTTACAACAAACTGAAACACAATGGAATGGGAACATTATAATATAGTGGGAACATTCATATGATGTACAGAAATATACCAGACCTCTGAGATATAAGAAAGCTACAATGAATATTTTTAGTCTACATACATGCACGTCTTTGTATACTCCTCCAACTTCTCTATTCGTTTTTTATGATCTTCTATTTGTTCTTTTATTTGTTTTAGATTTCCCTAAAAGAGAAAATAAAACCTAAAATCAATTATAGCAATTCCAAACCAATAAAATTACATGTCTAGAACTTACTATAGTATCATAAACTGTCATAAACTTGAAATATATCCAACATAACTATATGAAAATATCTATGAGATCAAATTCTAATTTTCAAAAGGCAGTCTGGTATACAGTTTTGAAGTTACACAGATCAGGGTTCAAATACAGACTCCACTATTTGCTAGGAAATAGATATTTAATCTCTAGTAATTTCACTGTAGTAGCTTAAAACTCCAAGGGGATTATTTTGAATTATCTATACAGTTCTTATCTGCCCCTTAAACTAATTCATTCAATAAATATTCACTAGCTATCATGTGGTAGGAACTAAAGATATAATAATAAATAGGAGAGAATCCTTGCTCTCAAAGACTGTGTCTGGTGGGAGAGACAATTAAATAAGCAATTACAGTAGTGTTACAATAATATCGGAACCTATAGGGCAACTAATATGCTTGTGGGGAGAGGACTTGAGAGTCTTGCTCTATTCACTTTATCATTAAATCCAAACACTACAGTAGTCTCCAACTGGTTTCATGTCTTTAACTTTTCCCCCATCTAATTCATCCAGTGCACTATAGCAAAATTAATCTGTCTTACTCCATTACTAAATGATCCAAAAACAGGTGTGTATGAAAGTAAAAACACAATACGGCACCAGGAAAAAAGAAATACCATAGTTTTTAAGTGGAAAAGTATGAACATATTCCATGAAAATAATTATCCTGTTTTACTCACTTATCACACAAGTTCACTGAACAAACATCTACTGTGCTAGATGCCAGAATTACAAAAATGAGTAAAATACAGTTCCTTTTCTGAAGGAACTCACATGTTGAAATTAGAGTCCCCATGTTGAAATTCTCTTATCTCACTTAAGAATTCCATTTGGAGAAGGAGGAACAAAATCAGTTAAGGAGAAGCACAAAGTTCATCATGGTTATTACTTTAATACACCAGATGGGTCTCTTAGGGGTCACTACCTAAGGGCTTGGACCAAATTTCAGACATGGCTTAGGCTAAAGAATAGATTTTACTGGAGAAAATATAAAAGGCCAGGATCAACCAGAGAAGGCGTGGGTCCCCTTTCTGTTCACCATCCCACAGGGAGGGTATGCCAGGGCTTGGGTGCTCCACTGGACACTTGTGAGATATGAGATAATCAGACTACCTTAGTATCAGGTATTCTGGATTTGAGATGCTGGCTGATCATGCTGGTTGTTGGGAAAACCACTGCCCAGTGCCAGAGATCTTGGGACCTGTGTAAAGTTACAGACTCCTTTGTCTGTGTAGGGAGTCATCAGTCTTGTGAAAAACTGAGTTTAGGTACAGGTCTTCTCCATCTTTCTCTACCCTGACATGTTATTTCTTCTTCTTTTACTCAACAGACAACAGCAATTCAACCAACACTTACTGACAGCTCCTAAGTGCAAGGTTTATGATGGACACCATTAGAATTCTGCCTTTAAGAAGCTCACAGTCTAGTTAAACTGTTCCAATTAATTATAATTTTTATGCAATTTGATAAAAGCCCTTAGGCAGATATAGATTAAGAATAATTGGTAGTTATATGAGGAGCAAACTATTTTTTGGCTTTTTTGGAGGCAAGGTAGGGGAAAAAAGGCCAAGGAAGGCTTTGTAGTATGGGTAACTATAGAATTTAACATGTAAAGATGAATAGGTTATTCCAAAAAGAAATTAGCATGCACAAAGGCAAAAATGTGCAATGTGCATTTTCAGACATCAGTGCATAATTTTATGATACATATTATATAATTATATAAATGTTATAAAAGCAATTTCTGCTATGTTACTACCTTCGTTTTTCTCCTTGCTAAAAAATGCCTTCTCTTCTACTTACAGAACTATCATATACTATGCCTTTCATATTTGTTTGTATTTTCATCTGTCGAATCACAAAATGACTAAAATGAGACAATACAGTATAAGGGTTAAGGACAGTCATTCTGGAGATGAGGTGTTTGTAATCGAATCAGTTCTTCCATTTATAGGACTAGCTAAGCCAAGTTGACTTAATCATCTTGTGTGTTGATCCCCTAATCTATGAAATACATTAATTCAACAAAAATTTATTATCTCCTCTGGAACTATGCTAGGTTGCCTGGGATTCATTAGTAAACAAAACAAATATCCCTGCTCTTGTGGAGTTTACATTTTAGAGGGGGAAGGTAACAAATGTAAATTAAATAGTATGTCAGGAAATTAATGCTATGGGAAATATAGAGCCAGAGAAAGGAAAACAGAAGTGCTACAGGGACGATTAATACAATTTAAAATAAGGTAGTCAGGCTAGGCCTCATGGAGAAGGCAACATTTGAACAAAGACTTGCAGAAAAGTAAGGGAAAGGGAGAAATGTAGGAAAAAGGTGTTCCAGGCAAAGGAATAACCAGTGTAAAAGGCCCTCAAGCAGAAACATGTCTGATACATTCCAGAGAGCTACTACAGCCAGACCACAGAGAATGAGGAGAATAGAAAAAGAGGTTTAGCAAGCTAGTGTGGTGGCTCATGCCTGTATCCCAGCACTTTGGGAGGCTGAGACAGGAGGATCCCCTGAGGCCAGGATTTCCAGACTAGCCTGGGAAATATGTCAAGATTCCATCTCAAAAATAAGTAAAACAATAAAAGATAAGACAAAGTTTGAGAAGTAAATGGTGGCAGAAGGAGCTAGCAGATCAGGTAGGTCTATGTAGGCCTTTTAAGGACTGTCTTAAACTTCATGTGTGATAGGGAGCCATCCTCCTGTGATAGGGAGGATTTAAAAAAGAGCAAGTTTCATGATTTGATCTCAATACTTAAAGCATCCCTTTGGCTGCTGTGCTGAGACTAGTGTTGAGGAATCAAGAGTAGAAGCAGAGAAACCTAGTAGGCTACAACATTGATCTAAATCCCACAAGAGATGGCGACTTGGATCAGGGTGGAAGCAAAAGAAATGGAGAGAAGTGATCAGATTCTTGGTACATTTTGAAGGTGAAGCCAAAAGAATTTCGTAAAAGAGTCAAAGATAGACTCTACCTTTTGGCTTGAGAAACCAGTAAGACTGAACTGTCATCACTTGAGATGGAAAAGACTATGTAGTGGAGCATATTTGGGTGGGAAGATGAGAAGTTAAGTTTGGGACTTAAGTTTGAGATGTCTATTCAATGTCCAAAATGCACCTGGATATATGAAGTTGGAGATTAGAAGATCTGAGCTACAGATACGAATTTGGGAGTCATCGGCAGATGGTATTTAAAGCTATGTGACTACAGATCACAAAAGCAGTGAGTGTAGACAAGAAAAAAAACAGGACGAGAATATAATAGACACTTGTTTCATTGCATATCACTTTATTTCACTTGACAGATTCTGCATTTTTTACAAATTGAAGCTTTGTGGCAACCTTGCATCCAGCAAGTCCACCAGCGCTATTTTTCCAACAGAATGTGCTCATTTTGTGTCTCTGTCACATTTTGGTTAATTCTTATATTTGAAACTTTTTCATTATTATTATACCTGTTTTGGTGACCTGTGGTCAGTGATCACTGATGTTACTATTGTAATTGCTTTGGGGCACCATGAACTGCACCCAGATAATGCAGTAAACTTAATCAATAAATGTTGTATGAATTCTAATTATTCCACTGACCAGTTATTCCCCCAACTTTCTCTTTCTTCAGTTCTCCCTATTGCCTAAGATGCAACAATATTGAAATTAGGCCAGTTAATGACCCTATAATGATCTCTAAGTGTTCAGAAGAGCTGTTTCTCATTTTAAATCAAAAGTTAGAAATGATTAAGCTTAGTGAGGAAGGCATGCCAAAAGCTGGGTTTTGCACTAGTTAGCCAAGTTGTGAATACAAAGAAAATTTTTTGAAGGAAATTAAAAGTGCTAGTCCAGTGAACACACAAATGATAATAAAGCAAAACAGCCTTGTTGCTGATATGGAAGAAGTTTTAGTGGTCTGGACAGATGATCAAATCAGCCACGACATTCCCTTAGGGCCCTGCCTTAACTCTCTTCAATCCCATAAAGGCTGCTGAGAAGTGAGAAAGCTACAGAAGAAAAGTTGAAAGCTGGCAAAGGTTGGTTCATGAGGTTGAAGGAAGCCATCTCCATAGCATAAAAGTGCAAGGTAAGGCCAGGTGTGGTAGCTCAAGCCTTTAATTCCAGCACTTCAGAAGGCCAAGGCAAGAAGATCACTTGAAGTCAGTTCAAGACCAGCCTGAGCAACATAGTGAGACCCTATCTAAAAAAAAAAAAAGGCAAGGTGAAGCACCAAAGTGATGTAGAAACTGCAGCAAGTTATCCAGAAGTTCCAGCTAAGAATATAGATGAAGGTGGCTACACTGAACTATATATATATTTTTTATTTTATTTAGACGGAGTTTCACTTTGTTGCCCAGGCTAGAGTGAGAGCCGTGGCGTCAGCCTAGCTCACAGCAACCTCAAACTCCTGGGCTCAAGCAATCCTACTGCCTCAGCCTCCCAAGTAGCTGGGACTACAGGCATGCGCCACCATGCCCAGCTAATCTTTTCTATATATATATTAGTTGGCCAATTAATTTCTTTCTATTTTTAGTAGAGACGGGGTCTCGCTCTTGCTCAGGTTGGTTTCGAACTCCTGAGCTCAAACGATCCGCCCGCCTCGGCCCCCAGAGAGCTAGGATTATCGGCGCGAGCCACTGTGCCTGGCCATGAACAATATATTTATGTAGAACAATGTAGATGAAACAGCCTTATACTGGGAGGGGAAATGCTATCTAGAGAGAATACCTGGCTTCAAAGCTTCAAAAGACAGGCTGATTCTCTTGTTAGAAGGTAATGCAGTTGGTGACTTTAAGTTGAAGTCAAGGCTTGTTTACCATTCTGAAAATCCTAGGGCCTTTAAGAATGATGTTAAATCTACTCTGTGCTGTATAAATGGAATAACAAAGCCTGGATGACAGCACATCTGTTTACAGCACATTTGTTTATGGCACATGCAGAATAATTTAAGCACACTGTTGAGACCTATTGCTCAGAAAAAAAGATTCATTTCAAAGTATTACTGTTCATTGACAATGTACCTGATAACCTAAGAGTTCTGATGGAGATGTTCAAGGAGATAAATGTTGTTAGCATGCCTACTAACACAATATCCATTCTGCAGCCCATGGATCAAGAAGTGATTTCAACTTTCAAGTCTTATCACTTAAATACATTTCATAAGGCTATATAGCTGCCATAGATAGTGATTCCTCAGATGGATCTGGGCAAAGCAAATTGAAAACCTCCTGGAAAGAATTCACCATTCTAGATGCTATCAAAAACATTTGTGATTCATGGGAGGAGATCAGAATACCAACATTTACTGGAGTTTAGAAGAAGTTGATTCCAATGCTCTTGGATGACTTTGAGGGGTTCAAGGTATCACTGGAGGAAGTCATTGCAGATGTGGTGGAAACAGCAAGAGAATTAGAACTGGAAGGGGTGACTGAATTGCTGTAATATCATAATAAACCTTTAATAGATGAAGAATTGCTTCTTATTCTGGCATCCTCAAACTACAGCCTGCGGGCCACATGCAGCCGGCTGAGGACATTTATCCAGCCTACTGGGTGTTTTTGCCACTGCTACTTGTCCTGCTTAGCAGCCGACTGGTCCCGGAGCCCATAGTGCGCATGTGTGGAATGTGCACTGCACTCTCCAATGGCCCTCCAACGGTCTGAGGGACAGTGAACTGGCCCCCTGTTTAAAAAGTTTGAGGACCCCTGTTATAGATGATCAAAGAAAGTTGTTTCTTGAGATCGGACCCACTCCTGGTAAAGGTGCTGTCAACACTGTTGAAATGATAATAAAGAATGCAGAATGCTCCATAAACTTAGTTGATAAAGCAGCAATAGAGTTTGAGAGGATTAACCCCAATCTTGAAAGACATTTTACTATGGGTAAAATGCTATGAAATTCTACCATATGCAACAAAGAAATCTTTTGTGAAAGGAAGAGTCACTGAAGCAGCAAACTTCACTGTTGTCTTATTTTAAGAAATTGCCACAGCCACCTCAACCTTCAGCAACCACCACCCTGAACAGCCAGCAGCCATCGACATCAAAGCAAGATCCTCCACCAGCAAAAAGATCATGGCTCACTGAAGGCTCAGATGATCATAAGCATTTTTTAGCAAGTATTTTTAAATTAAGGTATGTACATTTTTTTAGACCTGGTGCTATTGCACATTTAACAGACTACACTACAGTGTAAACATAACCTTTATATGCACTGGGAAACCAAAATGTAACTTGCTTTACTTTTATATTCGCTTTATTGTGATGGTCTGGAATAGAACCTAGAATATCTCCAAGGTATGCCTGTAAAAAAAAACTCATGAGGTTGAGGATTACTGAGTTTACAGCAGTGCTTGGTACACAGTATATACAAATAAACATATTACATCATTTTTATTATTCCTGAAAAATGTCAGACCAATTTCTAGAGACATTTCATTTTCTTTATTCGTACACTAGAGCAAATACATAACTCTGTAGTATTGTTGTGAGACATAAAGTAGAAATAAAGATCCCGTTTTCAGGATGGCCCATAGACTCCATAATAATAATTTTTATTATTGCTGAATATGCCAAAATAATTTTATAGCTCAAATCCTCAGTCTTTAGAAAAGAAGGTCATGAGGCATAAAAGGGAGAGAGTAAATGCTTGGTATGTTATCACTCACTTTCATCTTACTCAATCTGCCCATCACTATGAAGTAGACATACCTATCCTCATCACATAAATAAAGAAATAAAAGCCCAGAGGAGTTAAATAATTTAGTTAGTTATTTGTTAATTTACACGTTAAGTGAAGAATAAGTCTCTGAGGCAGGACAACATAATACTGTCTTGATGGTTACTCCTGATGTAGACTCATTAGCTCTTCTTGGACAGTAGTATGTCCTTAATGTTTTCAAATGACTTTGCATTTACCTCTATTATGATACCTCTTTTTTTTTTTTTTACCTTTATCTATCCTCCTCCTAACTCCTTGGGATTAAAATACACATAAGAACAGAGACTGTATCTTCTTACCATGCCTATAAGTACATATTAATAGATGCACAGAAAATGCTTACTGAATACATAAGTATTCATTCAGTGAGGCACTGTCAATCCTTATTTTAAGCATAAAAGAACACCTAAATAATACTAAGCACAAGATAGTCCAGAAATTTTTAAACTGTTAATATTTGATGTAAATTAAATTATATTTATATCTAGAAAAATTAATTCTGAAGGAATAAAATTTCACTGAGAATAATTCTAAATCATTACTGCACAAGCAGAGGTACCTGAACTTCTCCATGCCTCCTCTTTTCAAATGCTAGTCTTTCTTCCTCCGCCTTCTGTTCCCACTGCAGTTTTTCCAGTTGTTGAGTCATTATGGCTACTTTCTTTCTTACTTGTTCCTTAAGTTCTTTATAGCGATCAAGCTGTATAAATAGTATTGAAACAATGCTAACTCACTTAGAGAAGCATAAGAGGAAATTATTTGTATGACATTCTGTACTAGCACATAATTAATCTTATCAAAACCTTGCTTTATATAAATTAAATAATAATTGGCCAACTTCTCCACACAAAATAATGTAAATATAATATGAAAGGCTTTTTTAAAAAGCTATTTAGATAGAGCAACAAAGTACTCAAAAAACTTATATAATGAGGTCTCTGTCCAAAAATCTTAAGAAAAAGAGGAAATCCATAGAAAATGATATTTTTTTCTACTTATATAGTCACAATTATTTTAGTATATATATTGTGATGTATGATTTATCATAAAATTGATGAAAGAGATAAATGATAAAATTTAGTTGATAGAATGTTTGAAAACTCTCAATTACATGTTTGAATATCCAGTATTAATTTATTATAATTAAATCTTGTATAACAAGTTGGAGATTAATTCATCACTAAACATTCTAAAGCATCTTAAGTACTCAATTTCCCTGTCAATTAAGTTATCATGTCTCTAGCCTGAGCAAGAGCGAGACCCCCGTCTCTACCAAAAAAATAGAAATTAGCTGGGCATGGTGGCACATGCCTGTAGTCCCAGCTACCTGGGAGGCTGAGGCAGGAGGATTGCTTGAGCCCTGGAGTTTGAGGTTGCTGTAAGCTAGGCTGATGCCATGGCACTCTAGCCCAGGCAACAGAATGAGACTCTGTCTCAAAAAAAAAAAAAAAGTTATCATGTCTCTTCAAAGCCACACATATCTGTTAAGCTTTTATAATATGAGGAAAATTATCTTAAGAATAACTTAATTGCATAACTTTTATTATAAAATAATACCATGCAATCTTGCTGAAGTATTTTCTAGGACTTTAACTCATAAATGTTTATAATGCCATCTAATCTTAAATGAAAAATAGTTTAGTCTAAAGACTAAGTTTCGATTCTGGGTACAGGCTAAAACATTTAAATCCCCATAATTTACATTCTAAGAATAATCTCTTAAATATCAGAGAGATCATCCTTTACATTTTTTTCTAATTAAAAGAGAAGTTGAAACAGAAACAAAATGCTTCCCACATGTTGACTTTTTCACCTGACTGGCTTCCAGTTCAATGTCTCGCCCTTTATGTAAGATCTCTTCCTCAATTTGCTTTTCAAAACTTTTCCATGCTCCATCTAAATCAACCAGCTCTGTCTCCAGGGCTCTTATGTCATCTTCCTGTTTAGAACATTGTTTTTCACTGTCCTTTATTGATTTCTTAGCCACATCTAATTTCTTGAGGTGGTAAGAAGTGTTTTCTTTGGCTTTGATGTACTGAGGCCTCTTCTGATTTAAAAGGGCTTCAAGAGATCTATAAAGGAAAAAAAAAAAGTTTGCTTTAAAGGAAATTAATGTCTTTAATATATAAAAGGAAGTTATTTTGATCAAATCACAATAAAAAATAAACCAACTTTCAGAGACTGTAAGCAGATTAGTGGTTGCCAAAGATTAGGCAAGGTGGAGGGAGGGTTGTAAAGGGGCATCTTTTACATGTAAATTACTCTGTATGCTACTGTGATGGTGGACACATTAAACTATGAATTCATGAAAACCTATAGAACTCTACAGCACCAAGAGTGAACCTTAATGTAAGCAAATTTTTAAAAATCACTTAGGAGGCTGACAGATCATAGATGGGAATGTAGAATGTAGCAAAAGAATCTAACTTTATTACAACTGTATGAAGCAACCTTACTGAAGGGGTGAGAGGAAAATGTGCTGACCTAAATAATTTTGGAAATGAGTAGAGTCTGTAAGACTAAAAACAAAAGGAATTGTATATAAGCACTGTACTCTAGTTATAAGGTTGCTGCCCATGGGGTTATGGGTTAACAATTCTGATACTGCTATACATGGTTACTGAAATTGAAAAATTCAGCAAATGGATGGCAGATGGTGGAAGCCAGGTTTCTCACTTGAAATGGGACGTTATAGATAAGCAAGAGAGGGTAGAATAATTCTTTCATATGGTAAGGGATTAGAGTTGGGAGACATCAGTATAAACTCATGTTTAGCTTAATACAGATGGATAGTTACATATGGAAATATTTATAGATATGTGTATATGTAAGAGTTAGTATACATACATACATATATTTCCTAGTTCTATCAGCTGAAAAGTCTAGAAGCAAAGATACTCCAGTAGCAATGAGCATACCTAGCACCCAGATGTTGGTTCCTAATACCATTCTCCATTAGAAGGAACTAGGGCTCCTTGGAGAAATGACCAATTATAGGCCTGGGGCAGGCTTACAGAAAGCTGGGGCAGTCAGCTTATAGGAGCCAGAATTGACTCCTATAAGATGAACCTGGAGCATCTTGTTGTAGTGCCAGAAAGTAAGGAAAGGAAATGCTCCCCTAAAATCACAATACTGGAATATTTCAGAGACACGGAGCCAACTCAGAGTTCTCGATGGCCACAGTTGGAACAATCTAGGCAACAAAATAAATAATTTAGTATTGGGTTATAATTCCAAATGTAAAATATCTATAAATCCATAAGACCATTTTACTTCTATGGTCTTACTCCCCAAAACCCATAACCCCAGTTTAATTATGAGAAAACTATCAGACAAATCTCAAATAAAGGACATTCTACAAAAAAGCTAGGCCAATACTCCTCAAAACTGTCAAGCTCATCTAAAACAAGGAAAGTCTGAGAAACTGTCACAGCCCAAAGGAGCCTAAGGAGATAGATAACTAAAATGTTACATGGTATTCTGGATCAGAAAAAGGACATTAGGCAAAAACTAAGAAAATATGAATAAAACATGGACTTCAGTTAATAATATCAATATTGGTTTACCAATTCTGACAAATGTATCATATTAATTTGTTAATAATATGAGAAACTGAGTGTGGGAAATATGAGAATGCTCTGTACTATATTTATAAAAATTCTTCTGTATATCTACAAGTATTGCAAAATAAAAAGCTTATTTTTAAAAATCAACTTTCAAAGTGCCACTTATATTTTTCTCTATCAATCTACATAAAACCCAACTGTTAATACCTATTTTTAAAAACTCACTTTAATTCTTTTTCTGTTTGTTGTAGTTGTCTAGTTAGCATTCCATGTTCCTTTTTCTTGGCTTTAACTATGCTTTCATGATGAGAAAAAGACTCTTTTGTGATACTCAAATCTCTATTGAGATGCTCTAATTTGGTGCTCAGAAACTGAATTTTTTTCTCATTATGATATAGTTGGAAAAGCTGTAGTTGTATCTTGTTTATTTTCAGTTCTTCAAGGAGACTCTGGTAACGTTCTGCCTGTAAAACAGTACAATTCAACAGTAGCTAAAAGGGAGTATATGTAAGCTGGCCTTTTATAAACCAACTATTATACCAACAAATGATCTCTAATGAATTTTTATTTATGTCATTAAGAAACAGTATTCTTCTGTAATCTTAGCACTCTGGGAGGCCTAGGCGGGCGGATCGTTTGAGCTCAGGAGTTCAAGACCAGCCTGAGCAAGAGTGAGTCCCCATCTCTACTAAAATATATATATAAAGAAATAAATTAGCTGGATACCTAAAATATATATGTATGAAACTTCGCCGGGCATAGTGGCACATGCCTGTAGTCCCAGCCACTTGGGAGGCTGAGGCAGAAAGACTGCTTGAGCCCAGGAGTTTGAGGTTGCTATGAGCTAGGCTGACGCCACAGCACTCTAGCCCAGGCAACAGACAGAGTGAGACTCTGTCTCAAAAAAAGAAAAAGAAAACAAATAGTATTCTTGCCAAAACTAGCATTATTTGGAAAGGGTTTCTGGATATACTTTTAAAATAAGCCAATATACTAGTAAATGATTTTGTGTTCATGCACTTAACAGTATGATGGTAAAGAATGAAGTGACACCCAATAACCGGGGTCTTAATCCCATTTCTATCTTGACCCATGAGTCTGGCAAATCCATTAACATTTCTCATCAGTTTCCTCATTTATAAACTGAAGGAAGAGTGTTATGTGACTTGTAAGGTCACTTACAAGTGACCTAGAAACTTAACATTTAACAATTCCAGGTAAAAGTCCTTCTATAGGGAATAATTTTCCTACTGAAAGAACTAATAGGAATATTACAGTTCTGAACTATATGTGAAAAAACTTTAACATTTTTGCTATTGATAAAGAAATAGGCTGCCTCGAGAGAAGAGCTCCTAATCTATATTGGAAGTATTCCAAGTAATAAGTAAATAGCCATCTGCCAAGATGTTGTAAAATATAATTAGGAAGTTGGATTATTATTATTTTTCTGAGACAGAGTCTTGCTCTGTTGCTTGGGCTAGAGTGTCATGGTGTCAGCCTAGCTCTCTGCAACCTCAAACTCCTGGGCTCAAGTGAGCCTCCTGCCTCAGCCTGCTGAGTAGCTGGGACTAGAGGCACACACCATGATGCCCAGATAATTTTTTCTATTTTTAGTAGAGACAGAGTCTCACTCTTGCTCAGGCTGGTGTCAAACTCTTGACTGACCTCAAGTGATCCTCCTGCCTCAGCCTCCCAGAGTGCTAAGATTATAGGCAGGAGCCACTGTGCCTGGCTGGATTATTCTAATTGTCTTTATAATATTTAAATTCTGCAATTCTGTTAAGCTATTTCAGTACAGTGTCAATAGTAGTCTGACCTTCACTGATGTCACTCCTTTCCACTAACAAAACCCAGGATATGTCCACACATTAAAAAATATGAAGACACAGAGAAACATCACCAATAAGGAACACATCTACTTTTCATTTATTTTTCAAATATTTATTGAGTGTATACTACATTCTGGGCCTCTCGATTTATGTGCTGGGAATATAGTGGAGAACAAGACAGGTCATCTCAACTCTTATAAAGCTTATATGTACTCCAGTTATTCTAATAGGGGGAAGAGGGAGGAAAAGAAGTCAGAGAATAAACAAGCAAACAAATAATAAGATAATTTCATATAACAATAAATGCTACAAAAGAAACAAAATAGAATAATATGATAGTACAAGGGAGGGGATGCTAATTTAGATTGGAGGCATGGACAGTAGGTACCTGCCTGAGAAAATGGTTTTTTATAAAAAACCTGAATGAGAGAGTATCAGTTATGTAAAAATCAGGCATACAGCTATCTAGGCAGAGGAAATGGCAATATCTGGTGGGTTCAATAAACAATAAAGGTCAATATGGTAGCAAAGCAGAGGAAATTAAGGCTCAAGAAGTGAACAGAGGCAAGATCAATAGGCTTAGATCAAAGGCTAGATTCTCAGTGCAGTGGGAAGCACTGAACTGGAAGGTTTTATACAAGAGATAGATGGGATCTAATTTGCATTTTAAAAAGATCCTTCTAAATGTAAACAATTATCAATCTTAGATAAGGTACTTACTATACTAGGCATCATGAAGGGCACTAAGAAATTCTACAGAACTTTGCATGTAGTACAGCTATGGCTTCCTTTAGGGTCCCTAAGACCCTTTTAGGGAGTTCTTGAAGGAAAAAACTATTTTCATAGTAATACTAAGACTTTGTTATTTTTAGTGTGTTGACTCGTGCATTGCTGGTACAAAAGCCAATAGTAGGTAAAACTGCTAGGTCATAGCACAAATTAGATTCCATGAAGAAGTACACAAGAATCCAGCTGTCTGTCTTCTATTAAGCCAGACATTAAAGGAGATTATAAAAATGTAAAACAATGTCTCTCTTCTAGTTAATTTGTTTTGGAAAACAGTTATTTTTCATAAAAATATGTTATTTATGTCAACATATAATGAGTTTATTACTATTTTTATGTGGATCACCAAAAATATTTTTTATATTTTTAGTTTTAATTTCAAATATAATAAATATTGGTAGATATAAAAGTTTACTTTTAATGACTATTGGGCTTTGTCTTATATTAGTAAAGAAAGTTTCTTGGTAACTTCACGCCCATATCTAGTAATTCTAACAGAAAGTTTTAAGGGTTCTATCTTCTTGACACCTTACCTCTTCCTTCTCTAATTTTGCGTGTCTGCGCTCTGCTGCTACATTTTTTTTCTTATTAAAATTAAACTGTGCATCCTCTTCAGCTTTCTGTAATTTTCTTTTCTTCTCCTCATATTCTCCTATAAGCTCTCCTGAAGTGCTGATTTCCTCAAAAAACTGGGTTCTTTCTTTGGGTTTTTTCATTGAAATCGACTCTACAGTTCCCTTTTAGAAAGAGCAAAGCACACCAGTATATAAAATACAGTGATGTATTTTAAAAACTATGAATCAAATAAACTACTACAACTACTTACCTGAAAAACTAAACAGTTTCGTGCTTTGACTATTATGCCTATCTTTTCCAATTCTGCTATATAAGCAGAACGACTCACGACATTATCATTAAAACGGAATTCGGAACATCCCCCTAAAATAAAAATTGTTATAGAAAATATGAATATAGGTCATATATAAGTAAATATAAAATTATTATTCTTATTGAAATGGCCAGTTAGCAATAATATACATGGTAATAAATGCATTTAATCAGTCAACAAACATCGATTGTAATTGCTCCTGGCCTAAGATCAAGTGTAATAATAAATATTGAATGTCTATTAATATGCCAAGGACTATTTTATAGCAGGGAAAAAAACAGACGAAAGTCTCTGATCTCAGGAGCTTATATCCCAGGCGGGAAGACAACAAAACGAGATATGCAAGTAAAATAAACAGTATATTAGAAAGTGGTAAGTGCTAAGGAATAGGGATGAACTAGGATGGAGAAATGGAAGTTTCTATATAGAAGGGACAGGCATTGCAATTTTATTTATTTTATTATTATTTTTTGAGGCAGGGTCTCGCTCTGTTGCCTAGGCTGGAGTGCAGTGTCTTGATCATAACTCACTACATCCTCAAACTCCTGGGCTCAAGTGATTTTATCACTTCACCCTCCCAAGTAGTTAGGACTACAGGCATGCACCATTATGCCCAGCTAATTTTTTTAATTGTTTAAATTTTGTAGAGATGGGGTCTTGATATGTTGCTCAGGCTGGTCTCAAACTCCTGGGCTTAAGCAATCCTACTGCCTCAGCCTTCCACCACACCTGGCTGGCATTGCAATTTGAAATAGGGTAGGTGAAAGAATACTTACTGAGATGGAGACTTCTGAGTTAAAAATCCAAAGTAAGTGAGAAAACTAGCCAATGAACATATCTGAGTGATAAAGTGGTGAAATACTTAAAGTAAAAGTATATAATAAGTATTTCTAAAATCATCTGTCATTGAATTTGGGGGAGGTTAGTAAGACAATATTTACTTATTAGAAATGTTCTAGTGGACCAGAATGAAAACAACAATAATAACAAAAACAAAACCAAAACACCTATTCACTGAGGCTCTGTAAAATCCTAGCACAGGCCGGGCGTGGTGGCTCACACCTGTAATCCTAGCACTCTGGGAGACTGAGGCAGGAGCATCGCTTAAGGTCAGGAGTTCGAAACCAGCCTGAGCAAGAGTGAGACCCCATCTCTACTAAAAATAGAAAGAAATTAATTGGCCAACTAAAAATATATAGAAAAAGTTAGCTGGGCGTGGTTGCGCATACCTGTAATACCAGGTATTCAAGAGGCTGAGGCAGGAGGATCGCCTGAGCCCAGGAGTTTGAGGTTGCTGTGAGCCAAGCTGACGCCATGGCACTCTAGCCCAGGCAACAGAGTAAGACTCTGTCTCAAAAAAAAAAAATAAAAAATAAAAAAAAAATCCTAGCATAGGATGAAATATATAAACAATTCTCGATCTCGTTTATTCAGGGAAATTTATAAATAAATCACAAATTACAAATTCAAACATTTCACTCAATTTGCTGTCCAGTGGTAGGAAAAAAAATCCATACAAACCAAAAATATGGATATAATTAGTTCATCACTAAGTAAATCTGATAAACATGAAGAACCTCGAGAATTTCTATGATTTTTCTGTCTTCATAGTAGGCCCCCTCCTTCATCTTAACCAAATATCCAGACATAAAAATGTTATTTAACAGTAGGAGGATTTGAAGAAATATGTCTGCTTAAGGAAGAGTTTTAGTGAAAAATTAAACAGGTTCTGTTACTTGGTTCAGATATTTGCTATCCAAGGGAAAAAAAGAACTTCTAGTTTACTATACCAATGGAATGATAAATCACACCCTTCAAAGAAAGAAAAAACTGGGCAATCTTAACTCTTGAAAAATCAAATGACTCATAAGCAAATATCTACAAAAAAAATACCTCGGATAATCCTTGCAAATGTTTTCTCTTCTCCACTGTCTTCCACATATACAATTTTTACACTTGCAGAAGAAGAAACAGGTTTTCCAATATGTGCACCATGAATAAGTTCTTGAATATTTTTCACCCTTAAATTAACTGTTTTCTCTCCCATTACAAAACTAAGTGCATCCATTACATTGGATTTTCCTGGTGACGAAAAGAGAGAAAGCATTACCCATTCATAATGATAAAACACTTTGCCAAGAACTGAAATCAGGCCACCAACAGAAGTGAAATATAGCCAATGCACATGTCTAAATAATTCTGTTTTGTCAATATTCAAAATTCATGTGACTGAGAAATTTAATGTAGATTACTTGTTTCTTTTATGCAGCTATCAAAGAGCATTAAAAGGTTTAAATTTGAGGATCTAAATACATGAATCTAAATCCCAGCTCTTTCTCATTATTAGGTATCACACCATGATAAATCATTTAACTTCCCTGAATTTCAGTTACCTTCCTTTTATAAATATGGAAACTCTCACCTAAAGCATTAGACCAACACCAAAGCCTCACATACTCAAAGACAAAAACAAAAACAAACAAACAAAAAAAGACTAACAAAATCCAGGATCTTTCCAAGGGCTAGATTAAAATTTCTAGAATATTTATGATTGGTATGAGATTGTGCTATAGAAAAATTATATAACAGGCCTGAGATTCCTATTCTTTGGAAAGCCTGTTTACAAGGTTGGCTGGCATCTTGGGGTTTGTATTTGTATTTTTGGGAGGGCTTCTACCACTCCCTGGTAAGAAAGGCTCACTGGGCCTAAACTATCCAAACAATATGATTTATGCTGAACACATGCTTTCCTTCCAGGGTTCCAGAATTTTGGTACGTGATAGGCAGAGGGTACCTATGTGACCATTTCCCAATTAAAAACAAAACCCTAGGCACTGAGTCTTTAGTAAAATTCCTTGGTAGGTAATATTTCACTCTTGCAGTTTGGTTGCCGGAGGAATTTAAACACTGTGTGACTCCAATGGGCAAAGACTTTTAGAATCCTGTGCCTGGTTTCCTAAGACCTCACCCCAGGTGGTTTTTCCCTTTGCTGAGGTTTGCTTTGTATCTTTTTACTGTATAATAGTCTTGAGTACAACTATATGCTGAGTCCTGTGAGTCCTTCCAGCAAATCATTGAACCTAGGGATATCAATGTGTATTCCCAACCCCAATGGTAGATTTGTTATCCAACCATGAGCCCATAATTTGCTCTAAGACAATTTCCAAGGTGCAGTGTCAATGTAGCTACTACCATCTTCATTTAATTTTTTTCCCTTTTTCACATCCTTTCCCCCACCATCCACACATATTAATAATTTAAATTTTATGGGGAAAGTAAAATGAACAAAGAAAAATAAATACTGTCAGCCACTATAATAATATGGCTTAGGATCTTTCTAAAAAGAGATTAAGGATCTTTTTAAAAAGCCAAAAATGGTTAAGATGCTACAAATTTATTTAGCTGAGTCTCAGTTAACTAATAGGTATGAAATGTGGCTTTTTTTGGGTTAATTGATAATCCACACATTGAAGGCTATTGTAAGACAATGCATATAGGACAAAATAAACATTCATTGAATAAGGTTATTAAGTAATTCAATCCAGTAATTGAAGTAATTATTAAGTAACAGCTAAACAGAATGTCTTTTTGGTCAATCCTTACTTAAAATCAGCCTAATATAAATACTTGCCCACCCAGTCTCATTCATTCCATTAATATTATCCCTGCCTAATGAGGGTTATATTTTATCAAGAGTGTCAGATAACAAAAAAGATAATTACATATTATAATAAGTATCATGAGAAGATAAACTGGGTGATGAAACAGAGTAACTAGGAGAGGCAACTTCAAACAATATGGTCAAGAAACACTTAAATTTAAGTGCCTACCTGCCAGCTAGTGTTAGTTTAACAACCACCTGCTGAAAAAAATGAAAGAATGAATGAACCAAGTCAAGTTTTCTAATGGTTAGATTGGGGACCTCTGCTGTGAGTAACTTAAAACCATTAATTTGGGAAATAATGATTCTGGAAGAGTCATCTTTTAGGCTATCATCACTTGCTAAACATGGACCAAGTATTCAAAGTTATAAAAATTACACTATTATTTTCAAAGACTCTTTTGATTCAACTCTACAGATCTCTCTCATTGCTCCCCTTTTATCTTCCCTCTACTAGTTCAAGTCTTCCTTACTTTTCAACCTTCAATCTCTTCTCCCCTCAAATTCATTCATTCATTCTATAAACACTTTCTGAACAACTACTTATCGGGCACTTGGCTAAGACTAGGGCTAAAAAGATAAATATGTAAGATTTTACCTTGTTAAAATTTATAGGAGGCGATCGTTTTGGACTAGCCTCTATCACTAAATCCCAGCAGACCAGACCAAACCAAATGGAGTCACTCATGCTAAGTGCCACATAATCAAACTGAAACCTTAAGGAAGCAGGTAAATCCCCAAACAGACCAGTTTTTCCTGAAAACAGGAGATTCATAGAAACCAATTAGAAAAGAGCCCAGTCTACCTGAGTCAGCTTAATAAGGAAGTCCCCACTGCATTAACCTTTGTGAGAAAAGCAACCTGTAGTAACCTGATGTTAACCAATCCACTTTTATTGTTGCCTTGTTCTCACCTTATAAAAACCAGTCTGTAATGCCCAGTGGAACAGTCATTCTACTTTATAGAATGAGGTGTTGCCTGACTCTAGAATTATAAATAAAAATCAATTAGATCTTTAAACTAAATTTGTTATAATTTTGTCTCCTGATTCCTCCAAGGTGCTCACAGTGGGGAATGTGCTCAACTTTTATTGAACCCCATTTTGTGCCAGATACCCTGCGTCGGTTATTTTGTCTTTAAAACAATCCTATGAGATAGGTTTTTAATTTGCATTTTCAAATAAAGAAGCAGAGGCTCAAAGTCAAGCAACTCATGTGTCTTGGAGTGATATGTGTAATTCCAAAACCTATGCTCTTTCCATTAAAAGCAAGAAATTAGAATATACTATAGTAAGTTTTAAGATAAAATGCACACAAAGTCCTGGTAGGAGGTTGGTGAAAGGGAAAAGAGTGAGGTCTGGGTATTCCCCACTTCTCTCCCAGTGAGGTAGCCTCTGGCTGGCTGTGCCCTTTGATGGAAAGATTATTGCCTTTCAAATTCCTTCTGGGTTCTTTCCTCTGGGCCTGGGGTTGGTGATAACTCCACTGCTGATTCCTCTATTTTTTTTTTTTTTTTGTGAGACAAACTCTCGCTCTGTTGCCCAGGCTAAAGTGCCATGGTGTCAGCCTAGCTCACAGCAACCTAAAATTCCTGGGCTCAAGCAATCCTCCTGCCTCAGCCTCCCAAGTAGCTGGGACTACAGGCACACCCAACCACACCTGACTAATCTTTTCTATTTTTAGTTGCCTGGCTAATTTTTTTTTTTTTCTATTTTTAGTGGAGACAGGATCTTGGTGTTACTCAGGCTTGTCTCAAACTCCTGACCTCAAGGAATCCTCCTGCCTCAGCCTCTCAGAGTACTAGGATTACAGGTGTGAGCCACCACCCCTGGGCCAGATTCCTCTATTCCTTATAATTCTACAGCTCTCCCCCACCTTTATAATTAGCGCCTTTGTAAATAAACCTTTCTCAAATTGTCCTAATTTCAGAATAACACCTGTTTCCTGCTAGGATCCTCACTGCTACAGGGAACAGAGGTAGAAGCAAGGTTTTTCTGTATATAGTTTTCTATATAGAGTTTTAATTTTTGAAATATGTACATGCATTACCAATTTTTTAAAAGCTAAATTTGAAAAATCCCATATATGAAAACAACAGAAGCAAGTGAACTTAACTGAATATTAAATTGGTTAACGTAGTCATATTGAGAAATGATTTATTTCAAGGGACTTCAGATCACAGAATTCTGACTTAGTGGTATGCATTATAAGGACCAAAAAGTAGTACACAGAAACTTCAAATTTCCTATAGTAGCTTTATGGTTTATATTATTGGTATTGGTAGTTTAAAAAATTACTGTAACATAAAAAGATGCTCAAAATCATTAATCATCAGGGAAATGCAAATCAAAACCACTTCACATTGACTAGGATGGCTAAAATTAAAAAGACAAGACAATAACAAGCATTGGTGAGGATGTGAAGAAATTAGAACCCTTATTGATTGCCAGTGGGAATGTAAAATGGTGCAGTCACTTTAGAAAACAGTTTGGAAGTTCTTCAAAATGTTAAACATAGAGTTATCATATGACCCAACAATCCCACTTCAGGTGTCCCAAGACAAATGTAAACATGTCTACATAAAAACTCACATACAAATATTTAAGCAGCATAACATACTACAAAGTGTCAACAACCCAAATGCTTATCAACTGATGGATAAACAAAATGTGATATACCTATACAGTGGAATATTATTTGGCAATAAAAAGTAAATAAGGCTCTTTAGTGTCCTTGCTTTCAAGATGTGAAAGAAAAGAAGGAACAATGGTCGTGCCAAAAAGGGCCGTGGCCATGTGCAGACTATTCGCTGCATGAACTGTGCCCGATGTATGTCTAAAGACAAGGCCATAAAGAAGTTCGTCATTCAGAACATAGCGGAGGCTGCAGCTGTCAGGGACATTTCTGAAGCAAGTGTCTTCAATGCCTATGGTGCTTCCCAAGCTGTACTTGAAGCTACATTATTGTGTGAGTTGCACCATTCACAGCAAGGTAGTCAGGAATCATTCTCTGGAAGCCTGCAAGGACTGAACACCCCCACCCCAATTTAGACCTGCCCCAAGACCTCTATCAAAGCCTATCTATGGAGTTGAGTCCTTGAGGACTGAAGAAAAACTATCTGTTGGAAAAAAATAAAATGGAAATTATACTTAATATAGTATGTTGACTATGTCTGTGCCAGATAGAGTGGAAGTTTGTGTTACATCAGGTGTTCAAGTGTGAATTGTCACATAATGTTTTCCTTTGAAAGAAAGCTAATCTGTGTGAATTAAACTTTAACTCTTGCAGTCTTAAAAAAAAAAAAAAAGTAAATTAGTACTAATGCAAGCTATAATAAGGATGAACTTTAAAAACATTATGCCAAATGAAAGGAGCCAGACACAAAAGTTCATATATTGACTGATTCCATTTATATGAAATGT